GTGCGTTACTTAGGCTCTGGAGCGTATAAGCGACAAATGAGAGAGGTCAGAGGCGGCGGGAAACTGAAATTGAAATGTCTTTTTATACCTTCATTGTGGGATTGTTTTGAAATGCAATAAGGAGTTCACGGGTTGGTTTGCTCGCATGGTATGATCGAGTACATTTCATGTACTTGACTCTCTGGCTACGAGAATTTTCATTACGGACTATGTTTGGAAGGCCTCGAAGGTGGAATCTCGTGAGGGTGAAAATTGCTGGGAGAGATGATCCTTAACAGCCATACTAATCATCATTTTCCTTTGCAAAGCCTGAATCCCAATCCAACAGATAGGCGGCTGTACTATCTATCACCTAAGAATAATCCAGAATAGAGTGATGGTTCTTCTAGAATATAGAATTGTCAAAAAAGATAACAATGATCCATGCAACCCCGCGCCATGCGTCTCCTGACCTGACCCCTTTCCGAAGTCCCAATGAGATAACGAATTAGGCAAATGATGGTATCGAGTTTGTTTTGGGAAAGACTATTTCGGCTTCTGGCCGAATTTCAGTTTCAGTTTGAACCCCCCACCACTGGGCGTAGATGGTGTTGAGGGAGCAGTTGCTGTCTTCGGTGCCGGCGCCTGGGGCGCAGGGGAGGGTAAATTTGGAATGTGCAACTTTGGCGTCGGTTGCGGACTCGGTTTCGGGCTCGGTTTCGGGCTCGGTCTCGGGCTGAAGGGGGCTGCACTGGAACCCAGCTTAGAGCTCTTGAATGTAATGCGAGGGGGAGGCGGTGCCATCGCCTGGTCTTCGCGCTTGCGCTTGGCAGCAGTAGAATCTTTCGATGGAGCAAGCGCTGTCCGGATTTTGCTCGACCGGAAGAAGTGTAATCGACCCTATGTGGTGTTAGCGGGACTTCTTAGCCGCTGTGCGCGGTGTGTGCTGGCGCGCTGGTAGGACTCACTCTTCCAAGATGCTTCACAGCCCAGTAACGAGGATACTTCAGGGTAACCATACGGGTTGTGACAGCGTCATATAAGACTCGACAGAGATCAGTAAACTCGGAGAGTTCCAGTACCCCAATGTATGGAGAGTTGCATGCAGCCCAGAGCGATTCTTTCAGGAGCTGATCGCCTGATACTTCGTTTTTCAAAGCCCCCAAGGCTCCGGTAACGGTCTGTCTCCGTGCAAGATCCGCTTGGCGGACTTCAGTTGAGGATTCTTGCTCGATAATTAAGTTGTCGGCATCAGCGGGTTGTTCTTGGTTCACATCGCGGCCGAAGGCAACAGGCGCCAGGGCTTTGCCGAATAAGCCATGGAGTCGTCGCCTAATCAAAGCGGAAGAATCGTTTGACATGGTGAATATGAACCACCGCAGAAGTTCGGGGCTCCGGAATAGATCGAGTTCGACAAGACATTCGAATGCGGCGAGGCGGAGAAGATCATAAGTGCCAGCTCGTGTGTAAGGCAAGAACTGCATCATATCGAGACTCGATATGTTGGCTTTCATAAGTTGCATCTGACAACGTAATGCGGCGCGAGAATAGATGTTCTGGAAAGAACTGGACCATTCGTCCATTCTTCTGTATCTATCGATCTCTGCAATGGCGTCTTTCTCTAATTGATCCTCTGCTTGGGTCTCAAGCACACGATCCATATCGAAATCATCGAGGTCGTCCATTCGAGACTCGACTTTTCCCAGCATCGCGTGGCAAAGCGACTCCATCAATGTCGCGACGTAAAAATTGTCCGAATACTGCGACACCATGAGCATATACATATGAATGACTACGGGTAGGAGGCTCACCTCATTATTAGAGTTATCATTGAACTTCAACTTGTCATACAAGAAGCGCTTCACCCTCATTGGCGTCTTTCCATTGTTGTCGCGTACTTTGGATATAGCTTCTGGAATGACTAGCTGGAGTACATATGCAGCTCTATCGGCGAAGTCGTTCGAGCGAGTCATCGGAGACCCCGGGAGACAGAAAAGTTCTTGAAAAGCTCTCTCAAGGTGGAACAACCCAAGCCAGTTGATTTCTTCCTTGGCATGCTTGACTAGGGCTTGAGCCGCAGCCACACGGATGCCGTAAAAGTACCTTCGGTCCATAAGAGTTCGTACAAATATGGACGAGATCAGCGGGTGCTCGCGCTGAACCGCCATGTATTGCAACGACTAGTAAAATGTCAGCATGTGCATATGTGTAATAAGTATGGGACGAGCTGACCTCCAATTGCGCAATGACATCTCGATCCTGTTGGAGTTGTGAGAGATACATATATCCTGGCATTGCCAGTGATAACTTGCAAACCCATTCAAAGTCTGCGTCCATGCGAATCCACTCATAAGATTCCTGTCCCATTCTCTCTTCGTCCTCTTTGCTCCAATCGGCAAGCCTCCATTCTTGGATTTCTTCTTCGCTCTGTAATACGTCGCCCAGACAATATAGCAGGACGTCCTCCTGTGCTTCAGCGCTAGGGTCACCACCCGATGCAGCAGCTGCACGCTCCTTCTGCCTCTTGTTCCTCTTCAGCCGCTTGTACTTCGTGTTGTAGGGAATGTCAAACTTGGTGACTCCTTCTTTGATCTCAACAATGTGTTCGTAGGGCGTACCGTCAGCTTCATGAATTCTTATCGTCATAGAACCGGTAAAAACAGGCTGGACAACTCCGGCATAGACATTGCGTATCTCTTCTTTGACGTCACGCATAAACGCGTTTTTGTCGAGATCACGTGTACTTGATGGGTCTGCTTGAACTTGTCTTATCATCATTTCGACAACAAGTTTTTTCTTGTTGAATCGCTGCGTAGCCTGGAAGCGCGGACACCCAGCGCCATATACCCACTGCTGAAAGAACGCATCCAGCTTTGCGTGACCAAGTCGTTCACAAGTCTTCTGGAAAAGTGAACTGGTGACGGCTCCATTTGGTATGTCGCCCATTCTGGAGTTCAAGAATAGCCGAGATATGATCCGAGACATTGTTGCCTTTCCGCTTGCCTTCGTAAGCCGCCGGTCGAGAATGAACAAAACGAGGGGAGCTTTGAGCGCAATGAAGTCTATCTCAGAAGGATCTATGTGTAGGATGTTTCCCATGTCATGGATTGATGGTCGTTCATAATCCAGATCGCAGACTTTATCAGACATCTGTTTCAGACGAAAGCGATATTCATTGTTGCCACAAAGCTTTCGCATGAAAGTGTCCGTGATATACCAAGAGACGCCCACGGTGACCCAGGTATCAGCAGGCTCTTTGGGGACGATATTGACGCCGATCCACTGGGATGCGAGAGCATGAACCAAAGTACGTGTCGAATCATACATTGGATCAATGACTTCTTCGGGAAACAATAGGTGGCTGCTGCAGATGGAGAGACAGGCCGTTGGCAGTGTGCCTTCGGGCAAGTCATCTACGAAGCAGACCTTGTAGCTTGAAAACGGATAAGAGCCGTATGACAGTGAGAAGAAGTCTATAGCTTTCGCCATAGGGAAACATGTATTGCGAACTTCGTCCGCCCTACCGGGGAGACAGAACGCATGCAAAGGAATCGCATTTTGACCAAGCTGTTCATCCTGATCACTTTCGCGGAAATCGGCCAGGTTCACGTACTCAAATGGGCCGATTGCGAACCCAACCTGCTGTGCCGAGAGAGGAGAGTAGCAAGCAAAGGAAACTGTTTTCTTGCTGGAATCCTTCGGGTCGATAATCTCGTCCGTAAGATCGCCGGAACAAACGACCGCTACATCCAATCCCTCATCATCCGATGCAATATATGGTCCTGGAGCATTCGACCGGCCGTAACTGCCCAAATTCGCCTGATCCCGCAGCTTGCGATCGAACATATCGCCCAGCGTGCATGGACATTTGATCGATATTTCCCATGTGCAACGTGAAGCAGGGTCGTCTACACACGGGAAAAGCGGGCAACCGACTCCATACCCAGGCGAGTTTGTTGTGTAGGCATGGGGATAGCGTCTGTCGCCGTTTTCGACCCCTACGAACTGCAGCCCGTCTCGTATGTTGTCGGTAACGAATTCGATATACAATGTCAATGCCGTGAACCGCGGAAGTGATGTCTCTGCTGCCTTAGAGCTCAAAGGCCCTTCCCCCTCATCAGCTGCCCCTGTAGCGCGTAGGGTCATTTGATCCTGGGCCTCGATAGAGAAAGGATCGAGTTCATCGATTCGAACGCTTTTCGGAACAGACACGAGCAAATCGGGCTCTGGCGGTGTCTTGAGCAGTCCGTCTATCTTGGCCGAAAGACGTTGATGATAATGAGGGCCGTATAGTTGGAGTGTCTCATACTGATCCACGTATTTGACCGTCGGTACCTTCCCACTGACATTCAGACGTCTGAGCTCGCCTTGCCGGAAGTTCAGTCGTAATACGCGAAGATCCTTGTGATGCGGGTGAATTGTAATCTCGGTCTTTCCCTTGAGGCTCTTGGTCGCAAAGTCGATTTCAAGCTCAACCTTCTGATGCGCGACAGTAAAGCCTAGGTCCGACCTAGGAGCCCCGGAGGGAGGCTCGACGACGCCTGGCATGGCGCAGGGTATACTCAGTCGTGCACTGCGCCGCGAGCGCCACACTGACCATCCACCGTCATGTCCAGGCTCAAAGAGCGACGAGACCAGTACCTGATATCACTTTCCTTTCACCTCGGGCGCGATTGTCGAACGATCTTGGGCGACAGAGTTGAGGAAGATGTTATCGGCTGAATCGGTAGGACGAGCTTCAACGGCGGGGAAACAACAGGAACAAGGCGGAGTGAGGTGAGCTCGGCTTGGTCGATAATCTTCGTCGCGGTATCAGGAGAGAAAATGCACCTCCAGCGGCAGGACCCAGAAAGGGCGTCGAGAAGGAATAACACAAAAACACAGAAAATGAGGTTCACTTCAATTTCTCACCATGTCGCGTTTCCAGCGTCGAAAGCTTGCGGAGCACGGTAGCAGACACGTGATTCCGTTCCCGTTCCTCTCTTCCCTCTTCCTTCTTTCTTGTAGCCGGGATCATCCAACTTGGAACCCGAGGCCCTGCTTTTCCTTCTTTTTTTTCTCCGCCCAGAGTCATTCCTCCTCTCAAGCAGACTCCAAGACAGGACTCTCTTTTCCCCGTCTTTACTGCCCTTGGCTGCTTTTTCAGCGTTCAGCACTACGTAATAGTAGAGAGGCTCAATCGGTACATTGAGGATCCGTGATTGTTCGCGAGCTATTCTCCTCCTTTCAATTGCATACCGCGCGATGCGCCATATCTGACTATTCTAAATCGTTTTTCCGAGACATTCTTCGTCATACATATAACAATCCAGAATGAGCGTAATTTTCAGAAGGATCCAAGGTGTGTCCATGCAATTCTGCTTCAGTACTTTCCCCAGCCCTGCGCTTGTGTAGAGCTAATTGGCCCTGCGCATCTCGTAGCGATCCAAGACTCGCTTTCCGATGATATCTTGATGCCCCTGAAGAGCTACAAGTATCAGAGCGTCGATAAGTCCTTTATCTCGAACTATATACTTAGGCACTACGTAAGGTTGCCCACTTCAATCGCCTTCGCCCGCTGGTCTGACCCTCAGAACTTCCGACTAGTGGAATGCATTTGTTGAGATTTTACCACTCTCGTTGGCCCCGAATATGGTCACCCTACTGGGTTTTCTTTTCATCGTTGGGAACGTGATGCTTATAGAGATCTATATGCCGGATCTTGTGGGCCCAGTAAGAGCACCACCCTACAATCTACCATCTCCGCGAAGCTGAACAGTTGTGTGCGAAGGGTCCTTCTTGGTTATATTACAGCTTCGCTTTTGGCATGTGGATGTGAGTCTGCACCTTTGATCTCGGTGTTCTAGTGTCACTGACCAGCGCAAGGTACTCCACTCTGGATAACGTCGATGGGAAACAAGCGCGCAGAACCGGCACCTCTAGTGGTTTGGGCGAGCTTTTTGAGTAAGCATTCATGTCTATCTCTGATAAGACAATAGGGAACTAACGTTAGGCAGCCATGGCATCGATTCGCTGAACTGCACCCTGGCTAGTTTGCTTGAGACGGCGGCGATGGGCTACGGTTCGTCGAAACTAGGTGCATACACAGCTCTGGTTCCGTGCCTCGCTATGTATTTCTCGACCTGGGAAACGTACCATACGCACACCCTTTACCTCGGTTACTTTAACGGTCCTACCGAGGGTCTGCTTATCGCGATTGCGATCATGATCGCGTCAGGTGTCTACGGGCCTCAGATCTGGTCCCGGCCGATCGTTGAGTTCTTGAACTACCCGCAAATCTTCGGGAACAACTCTATGAAGGACCTGTGGATTCCCGTACTTCTTGGGTCTTTTCTCCTTGGCCACCTTCCTGGCTGTGTCCTCAACGTTATGGCTGCGCGCCGGAAACAAGGCCTGCCCATTACCCCCATCTTCAAGGAATGGGTGCCCATGATCGTTTTCACTGGTTGCAACCTTGCCTGGCTTTTCTCTCCGTATTCGACTCTGCTAGCTCAGAACCGACTGGTTCTGTATTGCTGGACCATCTCGTTCGTCTTTGGACGCATGACGACTAAGATTATTCTTGCTCATTTGTTGAGACAGCCATTCCCGTATTGGACGGTGCTGCAGACACCACTCATCGGAGGTGCTATCCTGGCCAATCTACCACGTCTGGGCCTTCCGATGGTGAGCGCATCTTTCGAGCTACTCTACTTACGTCTTTACCTTATGGTGGCGTTCGTCGCGTACATGCACTGGGCATTCCTGGTCATCAACAGAATCACGACTTTCTTGGGTATCAACTGCTTGACCATCCGGCGTGACAAGTCCGTCGCGAGAGAACAGGCGTATCGCGAATTTGGAGAGGGCACACTTGCTCCTCTCAACCCTAGCGCCGACCCCAGCAAAGGCGGTTACAAGAGCCATTGATCGAAGCTAAGCGGTGAACTAACGGTGCTCAAATACACAAGGCGGAACCCTCGGTCGAGCTTGTTCGTGATATGCACAATCAAACGGCTGCTTGACCCGACCGACCGGGGATGTATAAAAAGTCCTGGCTCAATGATTTTCATGTCTTCTTCCATAATGTCTCTGGCCTACCGATTGATGAACTTATGACTGGAATAAATGGGACACGAGGACAAGCAAGGGCTGGTGATTGAAAGGTGTCAGTATATATAGATCATAGACAGTGTAATATTAATGATTTGCAAAGGTTCACTCCTTCATCATCTTGTTGAGCCCTAGAACTGGTAGTTTTTCTTTGGCAGAGACAACCTTTTCTGGTATAGTCCAGGATCTCGGTTCAATCTAATGCGATTATCGTCTCATCTATGGAGTACGCTTTACCTACCTAACCTTAGTCCGAATACCTCCTCGGCAAATAGCCCACCCCCAAAGCCCTCTGATCCGTACCGTTGCTTCAGATCACTGCCCTGCAGACTTCAAACCCATTTATCCTCCGGTGTTTTCACTCGGCCAACCGGCGATTTCCCCCCAGATGACCGGTGCCTCTGCCACCGACCGATAAGCAGACCCTCCAATTAATCCTGATAAGGTTGATAAGGTGAAAGCAATGGGGCTATACTTAGTAGTTAGAGGGCCCTCTCACGCGCATACATCCCTTGAGTAACGCACTCGTCCCCCTCCCCCTCCCCCTCCCCCTCCTCCTCCTCCTTCCTTCCAACTTCTGAGGGAGCTTCTACATCCATCTTGAGCACATCAACCCTTCACCTCGCGTCAAAATGTGTGATTCCAAGACGGCCACGGCGCCTGTACCGGCGCGACCATTTGACGACTATGGGCCTGGCAGCGTTCAAGTCCAGGATGCAGATGAGCTGCGTCTGGCGCAAATGGGTACGTAAGTCTGGATTGGCTGCGTTTTTTCCCTCTACGCATGAGGATTGGAAGTTCTGACTGAGTCTCGATGATGGCGATCATTCAAGCTAACTTCTCGACATTCTTCCAGGACATAAACAGGAGCTCAAACGCCATTTCTCGGTATGGAGTCTGATTGGATTAGCGGCCAATTGTACCATTTCTTGGACAGGTATGACGAGTGGGAGATGTGCAATTTGATCTATTGGCTAAATAAATCTCCTTTTCAATAGGACTTGGACTGGGGTTGATTACCTCTATCAGTGCGGGAGGACCTGGCGCATGTATGCAATTTCCCACCCCCCCTTCCTGGCAAAATGGACGCAAAAGTAAAAGAGGAAGATCCAACCAACATGAGCTAACCATTGGGACTCGTACAGTAATCTACGGATTCATCCTGGTCTTCATCCTGCAGTGTTTCTTGGCCACGTCTCTGGCGGAATTCGTCTCGGCGTATCCGGTGGAAGGTGGGATGTATCACTGGATTGCAGCGATAGCCCCCCATCGCTATAGCGATGTGCTGAGCTTCGCAACCGGCTGGAGCACCGTCTTTGGATGTATGCAAAAGCCTTGTTTTCCCTACAATCACCAGTACTAACTGCACTGGTAGGGATTTTCACCACGGCTTCGACGAACCTGGTTTACGCATCCAACTTCATGGCCCTCGTTGGATTATATAAAACCGATTTCGTGCTGCAGCCATGGATGACGTTCGTGGCATATCAAGGGTTCAATCTTCTTACGTGCGCCATTGTCATGTTTGGGAATAAGTGGATGCCTGCAATCAACAAGTTCTCGTGTAAGTGAAGATTTTGGGCTGATTAATCCTCTGTGTCCTGCGAAAGAACTGACTTTTTCCTTTCTGCTTCACGATCGATAAAGTATGCTATCTTCAGTTGGCTTGGCTTGCCATCCTCGTTACTGTGGCGGCGGCGGCCCCGAAACATAATGATACTGAATTCGTTTTCCGCACCTGGATCAACGAGACTGGGTGGGAGAATAATGTCATTTGCTTCATTACCGGCTTGGTAAATCCGCTATATTCTCTGGGTGGCTTAGATGGGATCACGGTAAGAGTCATACCCTGTCAGACCTGCTCGATCTAAGAAGCTTCTGACTGACTTCTCATAAACAGCATATTACAGAGGAGATGCCAAATGTATGTACTTACCTTTCCCAGGAGGCGCTGGCTGTGCTGAACTGACTTCTCGCAGCCTGGAAGGAATGCTCCGTTGGCTCTGGGTAAGTAACCATTATCAATGCCGAGTTTATATCCAATACAGTCTCGCTGACAGGTGTTATGACTCCGGATAAGCTTGCACTCTTGGCATAGCTTTTGTGACCGGATTGTCCTATCTTCTAGCTTTGATGTTCTCGGTCCAAGACTACACAACTCTTGCCGACTCGCCCACGGGCCTGCCTCTGGCGGAAATCTTTCGCCAAGCAACCCAGAGCCGAGGAGGTGCTTTCGCGCTTGTTTTCCTCTTGTGGGTGGCGGTAGGTCCGTGTATGATTGGTTCGCAGCTCAGTATGTTCCTGGCCCTTAAAACCCCCGAGTAGGTATTTATGTTAACACTGCTTTCCCTTTGAACAGGCACGGGGCGAATGTTCTGGGCGTTCGCTAGAGACGGGGGTCTTCCATTCTCGAGATTGTGAGTCTTTGATAGAAGCCTTGCCAATGCCCAACAGCGAAAGGAATATATGCTGACGGCCACTGCAGCTGCTCAAAAGTAAGCCCTCGATATGGGGTTCCGGTCAACGCCCAGCTAGTTGTCGGCATCATCGTCGCTCTTTTGGGGTGCATTTATCTGGGCTCTAGCACGGCTTTCAACTCAATGATGAGTTCTGCAGTGTATTTAACCTTCATTCATTCCTGAAATCGAATTTGGAAGCTCCGGGGCTGGTTCTGACATTACCGCAACGCAGGACGATCAACAACTTCGCTTATCTTGTGCCGATCTTGACCAACGTGCTGCTCCGTCGGCAAACCATGCACCACGGCCCCTTTGCCTTGAGTTTTGCCATGGGGATGACGGTCAATATCATCACGGTGGCCTGGTTGATTTTTGCCATCGTGTTCTTTTCGTTCCCTTATGAGATGCCTGTGACCGGTAAGTGGATGACCCAGCTGTTATGGAGAAGGCCGTCTCCAGCGGCCTGCAAAAAATAAGGGCCCGGTGGCTGACAGTTAGCTGGAATAGTATCGAACATGAACTATACATGTGTATGTGTCGGTGGATTCTTGTTTCTCGAGCTACTGTGGTGGCTCATTGCGGGCAAGAAATACTCGAAGCACATGCAAAAGGTAAAGGCGCATGATAGCGAGACAGCACACACATCGGTGGTCATTGCGGCCGATGAGAAAAGCTAGCTGCGCTAGCTATGAGGATGTGAGGTACGACGACTTAGGATGAGGCCCACACGTCATGCTACTTCGATACTATAAGTGATGTGCGGCTGAATATAATTAAACAGGCTCCGGGCCTCAATGGTTCCAGATCATGAGTAAGGGGAAGCACGTAGAACGCATGCACCCCGAAGTTATAGGCTTCGGGGCGGGAGCGTATCGTTGACACAATACTCGGATGGCCACCCCGAATGTCGGGGACGCATCACATGAGCCCCTAGTCCCGTAGAAACTTTTCTGCAAAGTGATGGGTCAACACTGACTGTATCGAAGCGATACAAGCCATTGCCAAATACCTATCACAGTGCATCCCCAACGGAGTCTGTGATATTAACTATGTCCAAATAAGGCAAAACATGACTAATTGCGATGGTCGCTAAAATCTTCCCAGAGGTTTGTTTGGGTCAGCACATGGTGTTGGATGCAATATATATATATATGTAAGAGAATATCTGCCTCCTTTCTCGAGGACATGAAACCAGGGGTGAATAGGTATATTCATATTCGTTGACGTCGTGATTGTAGTAGAATGGCGGTTGTTTATGTTAAGGGCAAAGAGCAGGATCCCCTTAGCACGTCCGTCCAAAAAGGAAATCCTTGACAATCGGAGAGCTGGAAAATTCAGGGTTCAGTAGAACGCAGCTTTGAACCACAATGTCAGTTCTTCGCATCCGTGCATAATTCTGCCACCAATGGCGCAACTCACTTCAGAAAATATTCCAAACCAGCGCGACGCGATTCAAGAAATTTAGGACGAAACTTGACTAAAGGAATCTGTGAGCTGGTGTACTCTCTTATGCAGCTTGCGCGACACATACAGATTACACTCTTAGGAGGTAAGGGAGGAAGTGCGTTTTTGGCATGCGGAAATGATACTATGAGGCGTTGTCGTAGGTCGTCGAACTCGGAATACCTGAACATAAAAATAAGCATTAGGTAATTTTGGCTATAGGCGAGAATGCGAAAAGCTTACCTCAATCGAACTGTTATAGGGCCACCCTGGAGCAGCTATCAGCACTCTACCAATGTCCCGTAGCGCTCAGAGTAGCAGCAGCGCAATTTTGGTACGCCCAAACTCACATCAAGTGTTTGAACCCTGCAATTCCAGACTACGTACGATCCAATCCCCGTCTTTCCTTGAACAACAACATAATCATCTACTGAGACGCTCTTCGCCCACAGTCCACGACTAGTCTCACATTCCGGATCTTCCGTGTGGTCCTCGAGGGTGATAGCCGGGCCAGCGTCGAGAGATAGTTGGGAGATTCTGGAAGCAGCTCTGTGATGGGTCCAATATGGAGGGACTATCCCGGACATCGGGCGCTCATTGCTCGAGGCATCCCGAGCTTGAAGCAAAGGGGTATCATCGCCGTTGATGGGCAGATTGGAGGGAGATGTATTTGTGTTCAGGGTGGTGTTGTCCGTGCTGGAGGTAGCTGAAGGTTCGGGGGAGGGAGAGTTTGGGTGCGGCGAAGGCACGAGGCCAGTATCCTCATTCGCTGGCTCCATCCATCTAAATGTCACTCGGCAGATTTGGCGGAGACGATCCTGACTGTCACTAAGAATAGGTCAGGTCAATCACGATGCAAGCTTAAGGAGGAAAATGACCAGTAGCGGAGATTAACCCAGGGCAAGCTCAATGTCCACTAAGACTGAATAGAATAGTCTTCGAAGCTTTCCCGTGGTTCCAAGCAGAGGAATTGAATGAGGGGGAAGAGGGTCTGTGTCCGTTCGGCGTACAGAATACAGTCAGATGCATGCCAGAATCATCGATGACCGGTCACATCAAGCCACGTCCAGGGCGTTATCCGGTAGGTAGACTAGTACTGTACGTTGGGACGAACGGGGGGGAGAGAAGGAAGTGCGGGGGAATTGAATCACGGGAAGAGGAGCTGATAAGATAGTTGAAAATGTTTCAGACCGTGGGACATACATACATACATGAACCAAGAAATGCGCTTTTAGTGCCTATCAATTCAGCGCCAGCGTCATAAGTGTCTCTTGGGTTGAGGAACGGTCTCTGGTGGACGGCATGATGATTGAAGCGGCGATCATCCTCGGCAGACTCCGACGGCGACGAGGACGACTGCCACTGCCATGGCACCACCACCGGGCAACTTTCCCGCAGCTTCCATCCCGGGCAGTCCAAGCCACCTCCAGTCACGGGACTACTAATTACTGCTCGAGAAAGGCGGCGAGTCATGTGAGAAGTTAGAACAACAAACAAAGGTTCTTGAGCTGAATTAAGTTGTATACATCATTTAGTGATTACTCCATTGCCCGAGTCTTTGATGCTATCCAACGGTGACTCCCCCCACGCCATTGCCAGCTGACAAGTCAGCGAATTTGAAGACCGACGGGCTACTCCGTGCGCTGCGAAGTCCGAAGAGTGTCGGCGAGTCGGAAGAGCCAGCAATTGGATTCCAAACTGGCCCAGTGGTGGAGGGAGATAAATGCCTTTTTTGGTCTAGGCTGCCTTCAGGGTCCAGACTAGAAAAGCCAAGAGGGTCCGGCCCCAATCAGCGTGTTTGCGAGGGATTCTACCCTTCTGCAACTGAGACATTTCGTCCGGATGATGGACAACGAAGACTTCTCAAAAAAAACATCGCTTCCCCCCTAGTAAGAGGCGATACTCGAAGGCTACCATCTCACTGAGACATGCTCCCACCATCATCACCATCATCACCCCCTCCTCCTCCTCCTCCTCCTACTCAGCACTGCATAGATCCTCAAATATCACCATGATTGTCACGGATGCACCTGCAATGCATGCAGCCCAGTGCCAGCCACTAGGGTAATAAACTAAAGATAGTAACTCCATCCCAGCCTGGAAACGATAAAAGGGTGAGTGGTTGTGTATCTGCTTGTGTACAGTACTGTATGGACTTCGTCCGTACTTACTAGACTGTCTAATAGTCTAAACTACTCATACTACTACGGTAGTCTAGTCAGTCAGTCGTATCGGCTAGTGGCCCCCGGATCGACATACCAGGTTCTCTGCTCTCCTGATGCTGCCGGGCAATCTTGAGTCTCTTCCCTCCGGGCTTCCTTTCCCCCTCCCTCTTCGCCCCCTCCCCTTCCTTCCCCTTCCTCCGCGTTGAGGTTGGGACTGATTGTAAAACTCACTTCACCCAGTCAAGCACAAAATAACGAGCATGTTTCGCCCTCCCTCCCAGTCCCAGCTCTTTCCAGCCTATCTGCATAAACCCCGCCATGGAAGGCAGCCGACTAGCTAACTAGCTTGCTTGCCACGGACCTCGGGGAAGTTACGGAGGAGACGAAGTGAACTTACTGTACTTATCTCAGCCAACTTAACGTTACGACTAGCACAATACGGCCATCCAGCACTAATTACCTAGTACTATACTATACCAGTTGCATTCTTGGATGGCTGGCTCCATTAGTATCCCGTCTGGAGCTTAATCAACACATAGCGTCGCCACCTCGACCTCGCTTCGCGTAACAAACCCAAGTGGTACGAGACAAGATGTTGGACAAACTACATATACTGAGCCTCCAGCACCATTCCCCATTCCCCAATCCCCAATCCCCACCCCGTCTTCTTCACCCTTTGATCTCCTCAAATCCTAAATCCTCTTGCCCACCCCCCTTTCATTCTCCAGGATCTGCTTCACTGCCTTCGATCTAGGATCTCTCACATTGGACCCTGGCCCAGATTCGACATATCATTCGTGACCCATCTTATTGCTGTAAGTCCACTCCTATCTCCCTCTTGCTTGCTCCAAACCCTCTGGTCTCCATCGTCTGGCATTTCCTTCCGAAGATCTTGTTCAAGATTCAGGAGATCACCGCTGGGACCCTGCAGTGACAGGGACTCCATTCCGAAAAGCATAGCTCGTCAGTCACTAATCTCTCAGTTGAAGCTGTCATCATGCATCTGTTGCATTCTGCGATTGCTGTCGCCTCCCTGGCCCTGCTTGCCAACGGACAGAACTCCTCCTACAATATCAATGTCAATGACATTCCAATCGATACGAGAAGTATGTCGTCACCTAGCTAACAAGGAGGACTATGCGATTGCCCGCGATACTGATCTTGTTACTTGGATAAGCTCAATGGTGTAAGGCTCAGACCTCATCATGCCCGCTCCTCTGTCTTCAATTGCCTGGAACGACGAGCCAGCCAAAGGAGAATACTTGCGATCCTGTGAGTGATACCCTTCTTCATGATTCTGCTGGCTGAGCACGTCTAACCACTTGGATCAATGCTCTCAGAAAACATTGTACTATGTCTGTGACTGCAGTAATGGCCTAAGCCCGAATTCTTCGCAATATTCTCAGACGATCCCGTACTTTTTGTGCACAGAAGAAAACAATGAGTGTGTCACCAACTGCAACGGCAATTCAATCTGCCAATCGGATTGCCGCAGCCAGCACCCTTGTGGTGCGCAGGACCCCAAGCGGGTGAATACCACTTCGACATCAAACTCAACTCCAGCTGCTACTGCTGCTTCCACCACAACCTCACTGGCACCCTTCACTGGTGTGCCCGATGAGGGCGCAGCAGCCCGATCATCGACAGACATGATTCAGCTTTACGGTCTGGTGACTGTTGTGGGTGCATTCCTGGCCGGATTCACGACCTTGATCTAGATTCAACCTGCGCTACAGGGTCCCTGATACAGCCGCCGCCCTCGCCCCCGCCCGTCGCACTTCTGATAATGTGTGGGAATCCATTTGGCATCTTAGCGTAATATCTTAATATCTGTCAGCTTTCGATTCTTGTCGGACATCGGCTACTGCTTTTGCTTTGGTTCTTTGCTCAGTTCACGATGCAGCGATTTCCTCCTTTCTCTTGTGTAATGGTTGTGCTACCGTTTATGAGCTATCCTCTTCCATGATATAACAATGATGACCATTTATTTCTGATCCAGTCAGATCCAGCGCAGGTTAGAAATCATACTTCAGGAGTTGAACGTTTCATTTCACAAGACTCGAAACCTGCCATAAGGTAGATTGGTTTAATCACAAAAACCACTTACGCTGGATGCTTGTGCTTAATCTCAATTCAGCCCATCAAGACAGTCCCCAGAACATGAGTACCGATTTGTAATCTCTTCAAGCAAGACAACTCAAAGCTAGCGAGTCAGTCATATTGAGCTAGGCTTGACACGCACCCTTTACACATCCTGCAAAGACCGCGCATTCTGCAGATGAACAAGGCCAAGAGCAAGAAGAATAGAGCTGATACTGTGGCGGTTGAAACATGGTGACAGCAGGATACAACGTTATCACAAGTATGTGGCTCCATCTTGAGTCCTCCATACACACCGTCTTGTAGGACAGTGTCTTTCTTTAGAAGTCATGCCGAGCACTATGGTAACCTTCTACATACTTAGAACCGACTCGGGAGCTATACCCGGATGATTTCCTGAGGGTGTTGGTCATGGTTACAAGGCGGTGGCCCGGGCGGTATGCAGCGGTGCTGATAAGTCGGGCCAAATGATGCCGCCATGCCGATGACCTGGTGGGAGAGAGGGCGAGGTTAGCTCACCTTCAACCGCCCTCCACCACCAGCAGGAACGTTCAGATACCGTTCAGAAGACTCCTCTCCTGCCTTGGGCTGTCTGATATCAAATCTATATGCTTTCATGGCGTATTGACAACAGCCTGTACCAATAATCTAGAATCACCTTCGCTCCAGTCTCCGAATCAGCTCGTTCCCCACTTCAACTACTGTCTCGCGACATTCGTTGCTGCCTCTATTGCCCTATTCTCCTCTCCCCGATGCACATTTTGGGCTCAAAACATCATATCAGAGATATCTTCTGACTCTGGGCTTGCTTCATACTGTCTTGCTCGTCGGCAGCAGTGCTGACGACGTGTTGGAGGGATGGATTACTTACCAACGGATGGGCATATCGAGCCCTCGGCCGCGTACACGGGCCAAGGGCCGGGTGGTGGTAATGTTGACTTGGACAGCATCAGCGGAGCCTCGCTGGGCTTGAAAATCAGGGTCGAAGGTAAGAACCACCCCTTCCCAGTGCGTATGTGCTCGTTTGAACGCTAACCATGAGCCTTCACGCCCAAGATCCTCCGAAGTTTGAACTGGAATCATACATCGCGAACTATACTGGTAGGCAAATACTGCTTTGCTCTCGGCTCATCGTCATCAAAGCTGACCGGCATTTCGGCGCCAGGCCGGACCAGGTACAATCGACTATATGTCATCGGCACATGTTCAACATATCTAGCCGTCGAGGCACTCAAAGCCGCAATTGCCGAAGCCAAAAGTGGCAAAGATGTCACCAGATACGAACGAGCGGTGCGGGCTCTCGCAGAGGTGGCGCCAAATGATCCCGAGGCTACACTTGACACGCACTGGGTGGACCACATGCAGAAGGTCGTCAAGGCTGAAACAGACAGGTTAGAGCATGAACTCAAGGGCTACAAGAACAACTTGATTAAAGAAAGTATACGGGTAAGGATGGCTGCCCCTCGCCGTTGAGGATTCCAAAAGGAGTAGCCATACATGGCTAACCTGTGTACTATAGATGGGCAATGAAGATTTGGGCCAGCACTATTACCTCATCGGCGATCTTACATCGGCATCCAAGGCATATTCTCGTATGCGAGATTACTGCACAACCCCGACGCATATCATTTCGATGCTGTTCAAGATCATCAATGTGGCGATCGAGCGAGGCGACTGGTTGAGCGTGCAGTCCAACGTTCACCGATTACGCAACCTGCAATCGAAACAGGACGAACAGTCCAAGGTTCAGCCGAAGCTGTCCACCGCGTTGGGCCTCTCACAGCTGCACTCAGGGTCTTACCTGGATGCAGCCAACAGCTTCCTCAACACGGACCCGGGCCTCGGCGATTCGTACACGGAGGTGCTCACCTCCAACGACGTGGCCGTGTACGGTGGGCTCTGCGCGTTGGCGTCGATGGACCGCCATGAGCTCCAGCAGCGCGTCCTCGACAACAACTCCTTCCGCAACTTCCTAGAGCTGGAGCCCCAGATCCGCCGCGCGATCGCCTTCTTCTGTAACTCCAAATTCCGCTCCTGCCTGGAGATCCTCGAGGCCTATAGGGCGGATTACCTGCTCGACATCCACCTACAACGCCACGTTCACACCCTCTTCACTCGCATCCGCACCAAGTCCATTCAGCAATACCTCATCCCGTTCAACCGCGTCACCCTGGATTCCATGTCGAAGATGTTCGCCCCCGGCACCCTGACCGGAACCGCCAGCGGCGGCGGCAGCAGCAGCGGCGGCCAGCAGCAGAGCGACGCGGACATGGACCTCAGCCACCCTTTCGTGCAGGAGCTGGTCACGCTAATCCAGGATGGCACGCTGGACGCCCGCATCGATCTGGAGAAGAAGGTGCTGGTCGCCAACCAGGTCGACCTCCGAACCGAGTTGCAGGAAACCGTTCTCAATGATCTGGAGGATTATCTGCAAGAGGCACACATCCGCTTGTTGCGCACCAACATCATTCGGGCTGGGTTGGAGGTCCGGGCCGACGACAAGCCCAGGGAAATGCGTGGTAAGAGGTCCGACGGGTTTGGGTCCGCCACCTTGTCTCGGGGCGCGGGGTTGTTCCAATGAAAGCCGTGATTTTGGAGGGGTGGGCGCGTATGTAGCAAATAGTCATCACCTAAGCCAAGTAGTCAGTGGTGCTACATCACTCGTACTATTCTCTCTCTGCACGGGTTTTTGTAATCTTTTCTCGGAAGTTGCGACATAGTGTCCTTTGCAGTGTGACTCTCAGCCCCTTCTTCCCCCCGTGTAGTGGAGATTAATGGCAAATAGTGGTAATGACATTATTCTAAAGAGTAAGCGCACAAAGTGACATTGTACATGAACAATAGGTAGCGTCATCCTCTCCTTCCCCTCCCTCCTTCCCAACTCAGCAAGCTCGGCTCTTTGCATAATCTTCAGATCCTTCCCGAATGAATACAAGTCTCTATAGATACACTGACCGGTCATAGGTCATGGGCCATAAATTGAACCGGAAAGGGGCATCGACCAAGAGTGTGGAGTGGAGCGTGGCTTAAGCCATGGCCAAGGCTAGCATCATGGCGGCACCTCCGGCAACCCAGCTGCCGGTGGCCAAGGGCAGGGCACCGTTGTCGGTGCTGCTGGCGCTAGCACTAGCAGCAGCGGTGCTGGAGCCGGAGGCATCGGAGGAGCCGGAAGTCGACTTGGCGGACGAAGAGTCAGTGGACTTGCCTGAAGCAGAGCCAGTGCCGGAGGCGGTGGCAGTGGCGGCGGCGCCGGACGAGGAACCAGTAGCGGAGGCAGAGGTAGAACCGGTGATGGTGATAGGGATGGCGGTCAGGGGAGTGGTGTAGATGGCGGAGGAGGAGCTGGGGCCCTCGGAGTCGCTGGCGCTGGTGGTGCAGCTCAAGTAGGTGGTACCAGTGCGAGTACAGCCTTGGGAGTAGGTACTTGAATACAGTGTTAGCAACAAGAAAGCTTGGTGTATAGAGCAAGAAGGGTCACATACGTTCCGCGGTAAGACAAGCCCATGCCGTAGGTGGAGCTGCCCACCGTGAGGGTGTAGGTGTCGTCCTCAATGTCGCAGCTACTGTCGTCGACATCATCGGAGGTGGCAGTAGCAGCGCTAGCAGAGGAAGTCGTAGAAGCACAGCCCAGAACAAGAGTAGTGAGACTACCACCAGTCTATCTACAGTCAGATACGTTCTGGGTAACCGAGGCACAGCGAATGCATCTGAAGGGATTTCATGACATACAGTTCCAATCACTTTTCCGGCGAGACCAACATCATCAGTGTCGGGCAAATAGACGTTGATAATGTCATCCGCGACAACGGCCGTAACGGAGGCCAACAGGGCCAGCGAGGAAGCAATCTGGAAACGCATGGTGGCTGTGGATTGGAGATATGAATTCCGAAAGAGTGTTATAGGGCAGAAGAAATGGGGGAATCAAGATATTTTATAGGCAAGCAACGGTATACAAGATGCTCTTTGGGTGCAAGCTTCAGGAGAAAGGAGAACGACCGTATGTGCAATCGGAATGCTGAGTATGGAAAGGGAATTTTTGGGGGCGAAAAGGCGCGCGAGGGCCGTTTCTTATAGATTTGTCCCAACTGGTTCCCTCTCGCTGGTGCGACAAGGGCTGAGCCTCGTCGAGGGCTGTTGTGAACTGGTTGGGGATGGCATGCGATGTTTGCAACAGAACGAGACCCTCTCATTTGGGGGCGGCAATCCTCGTGGGAGGTTCAGCTCACTCGTCGGACCCTGGCCGATCGCCAATTTTGGCGTGGAGCCATGAAAGCCATGAAAGCCATAAGGCGATTAGAGTTGGTTCGACGTGATCCGATTTTCCGATGCGCGAAATGTTGTCTCGATTTAGCCGCATGGGGACGTCCAGACGAGCAAACAAATGATCGATTAGGGAAGTTGGAGCACAAACTAATGAACTAATGAATGATGAGCTTCCATGATTGATGGTACTGGAAGAATAGACGACTGAAGTCAGTTTGTTGTCCACCGTTAGAGAAGCCGGCAAGAAGTGAACTGCCAGGAACTAAGCAGCCACTAAGTGCCCACTAACACCGGGCGCGCATTTGGGGGCTGAAACCATCATTTCACGAGACTCGCGCATGAATCGGACTCCTGCTTGTCAAGTGGGCTGAGGCACTCAGCCTTCATGTTTGCGGCTCATGTGTAAGCACTAGAGAGTAAGAATCAATCAATTCTTTTCCAAGTATCCATTGCGGACAAAGAAAGTTCCCTGGAGGAAAAAGGGCTTGTGGGTCGAGTCGCTGAGAGATCCGTCCTGGACTCCAGCAGGACCAGCACTCCCCGCTCAACCAAAATACAGAAAATGAGGGAAAATGAGATCGTCGCAGCCCCATACTTTCACTGCCCAAGCTCCATCTGCCGCCGCCATCACCGCCATCACCGCCAAATTTAACTCGAGCCGTCAACTCCGACTGCCAAGTTTCCAACCAACCATCTCAGTTGCTAGCCTAGCGGGTCTTCGAGTGCTTAACAACCCCACAGGCTATTCCCGCCAAGATTAAGAATCCATTGAAGCTTGCCAGGATGTAGAACGGAGCTCCCGACGAGAGGACATCGAATAGTAATCCTCCGACTTTGGTCAGGACCAAAATGCCTGCGCCGCCATACAGGGAATACACTCCAGCGATGGAACCTTTCAGGTGCGCCAGGGGCTGCTGGTTTCGTTCCGTAGCTGAAGCCAACAGAGCCTGCTCCTCTTGGTCCCCTTCAGTCTCATCGGCCGACACCAGGTCGTCGTCGGTCTCCTCGCCATAGAGAGTGGATGGAGAAGAACCATATCCATCTCCTACCCGGCATTGAGAACCCATACGGAGTATTCCGGTGCTAAGGACAGACAAGCTGCAGACGATGGCCCCAACCTGACTGAGTCCAAGGAGCGCCATCACAACGAAGACGCCAGGACTACCGTGGGGCTCTCTGAAGTCCGGACTGGGAAGCACCGCAAATGTGATATAGCCGACCACCCCTGCCACACATGCCCCTAGCAGGGGCATCGGGTATTGTCGCGACCGCTCTGACATATACCCAAAAATCGGCGCCGCCACCAACGCGATGAGCTGAGAAACACCGGTCAGAATTGAAGCCAGCACATAAGCTCTACGGCATGATTGCTTGACAGCATCGGAGCCCATTCCATCCCCGTTATTGCCCTGGCATAAATCAGACTGTCGATAATAGTGGTTGACCGCTAGGGGAATGAATAACGAGATTCCGACAGATGATGCCCGAGCCACGAAACCGCCCACATAGCCAAGGAAAATGTCGCTATTATGGAATCCTAGCATCAGCGCAGCGCCAAGCTGCTGGAAGTACGGCAAGTGTCGCTTGCTATAATCAGTATTTCGGTCGTCACTCGCACAAGTGTTCTCCGGCCTTTCCCGTCGGCCCCGAGCCCATAAAGAGCTCCAGGCTTTGCCTTCTTCCCCGGGAAGGTGCCTCAACCCTACAGAACAGAGGACAGCAACCGACAGAGACACGATCGCAACAACATAGTAGCTATATTGAATGGATTGTGGTGGTGAGACTCCCCACTGCTGAAGTCGAGATGGCAGAGGTAGGAAGACAACGAGGGCGACTAGTGCACCGCTTCCAGCACACATTCCAACATATCCAGCTAGCTTGGAGGACGGCGTTTTCTCAGCCACACGACTCGATGCGGTGGGCTGTGACTGTGATGGAGATCCGACCACAGCTGGAAGCACGGCCGTGACCATGGTCGATACCGCTGCGCCTCCAAGACTGAAGAGTAAACGTCCTAAGAGAAGCTGAGGATAAACATTCTTCGCTTGAACAAACACGAGCAACGCGATGGCGATGATTCCATAACCAGTCACGCAAACCTAAACCAAATACATGTGAGTAATTGTAGTAGTGCGCTCCTAGGAAGAAACGATGAAGTTATAGGAGCACCATGAAAGAACACTCACATTACGGACTCCAATTCGATCTGAGAGCACTCCCCAGAGGGGACAAGCAATCAAGGCAAGTAGTTCATCTGCGAATCCCAAAGTCCCAACAGCATCGCCTTCTCCCGCATCAAGGCCAAGAAGTTCCGTGACCACGAAGGAAACGGACGAATTGAGAAAAACTAGAAATGCAATTGAAAAGGGGCAAACTCCAAACAGATATGTGCATATTTGCAACCGGTTGGCGGTAAAAATAGGTGTTCGTCGAGATGCCATCCTAGCCATGGTTCCAAAGCATGTCTCGAGAGATCAGAGTGGTGGATTGTTTGTAGTACTACTCAGACGAGCATCAAGGGCAACCTCGTTTTCGTCTTAACGACGCACATAGACATATACACACAGTCGTTCTCTGTGGTTATCAGTCCTCTGCTTCAAAGCCCAGTTCTCTGCGGTCAAAATCTGCCACCGTTGTCTGTAAAGGTCTGTGAAACGTTGGACATAGACTCTGACTTGATAGACCGGTCTGGTGGTGGTGCTACTCCGGAATGTCTCGCAATCAGTCACATGACCACGCGTCGGCCCGGTGGAGCGCTGGTCGGTGTTCCAGAGATAAAGGACAGGTGAGGTGGAGCAGGAGTCTGTCTCTTCAGAGTTCAGACTTAATACTCAGTGTCACATGTGCCTTCCAATTGAAGACGTAAATACAAATCAAGTCCACGATTGACACCAAAGACGCAAGCTGCCATAAGTATGCATGCGTTAATACAGGACTGACTTTACTACATGTGTACTATCCAAGTCATGATGATAATTAATGACGAAATAAGACCGTGGTCGCCAACTAAATCGTTAGTCAGCCGCCGCTCAATTCACTCACTAACTCACTAATCTTGAGGTTGACGCAAGGCGGTGACGGCAGATTGTCAACTGGCATCATCATCGAGCGCGGACGGAATGACTGCCGATTGCTCCAGCTGTCCAGAACTAAGTACTGCCTCCCCCATCCTCTCCCCTCCCACGGCCCTTCCCCTCCTCCATCCTCGCATAGTTCAACCAATGTCCTTCTAAATTTCGCACTGTCAATCTTTCGCCTTGTGTCCTTGCCAATGACTGGGAGCTTGTCGTCCATACCCGTCAATTCCTGGCTATGAGGTTCGCCGTCTACGCCGGGGTAAGTTAGCTCTGTTCCCATAATGTTGGCCGTTTGTGCTCAGGCTGATCCGCTTGAATCGCAACCACAAATAGGCTTCGACTGCCCTGGCCACCGGTGTGTTTCTGAAAGCGCTACATCAAAGGGCCAACTTCTATGCCGCATGTGTATATCTCTCTCAAAGTAGCGCAAATCTTATGGTATGACTTCTGCCCTCCACTCCCAGGCTGCATGGTTGGTCACGTTGCGTCCCTAAGCGCACCGGGAAATCCGTCATTGCGATTCTGTGCAGACTGAGCTAATCGACCTTTCCAGATTCTGATGAACGTATGCCTTCTAGCCGTTGGATTCTTCATCTTTTGGCTCCAACGTCTCCTTTATGGACCGCTCCGACCCATCGAGACCGAACAGCTATATGAGAAAGCATGGTTCGCTGTCACTGAAACGTGTCTGGCGATGACGATCTTTCGTGGAGAGCTGGGAGGGTGGTTTCTGGTCATGTTCGTTTCTCTTCTCGTTGGCAAGGTCTGGGGCTGGATCGGGGAGGGCCGCGTAGAATACCTCGAACAGCAGCCGCCTGCGAATCCACGCCTGTTCCACTTCCGGCTCGCTCTGTCCTTACTTATATCAGTCCTGTTCAATGTGTTCATGCTGAGTTACTGCGTTCAGACAGTTCTTGAACAAGCACGACCCGACATGATGGTCATGTTCGGCTTCGAGTTCGCTGTCCTGACCATTCTGTCAAGCTCAACCGCCGCCCGATATTCCATATCTTTGGTTGAACTCTACGTTACCCACCGGCAGTTGAAGGCCAGGTTGGAAGAACGCCGTCAAGAGATTCGAGCTGCGCGGGACGAGGCCCTGCGACAACAGGCCGAGTCTGCAGAGACAAGCACCTTGCCTGGCCTAGCGGATGAAAACGACGTCAACGAGATGGAGTTGGACGTGCCAGGGTGGGAAGAAAAAGGCCGGTGGATTTTTTACCTTGACCTCCTGACAGACTTCCTCAAACTTACGGTGTACCTGACATTCTTCGCCATTTTGTTCACCTTCTACGGTCTGCCCATTCATATATTACGCGATGTCGTTGTTACGATCCGGTCGTTCGGACGCCGCATCGTGGACTTTGTCCGGTATCGTAACGCGACACGTGACATGAACGAGCGCTATCCTGATGCTAGCGCTGAGGAGGTCGCTCGGGAGGAAGTGTGCATCATCTGCCGCGAGGAGATGACCCAGTGGCACCGGGCTGGGGAAAGAGGTGAAGGTGCACAACAGCAAGGTCGGGTATCTGACCGCCTTCGTCCGAAGAAGCTCCCTTGTGGCCACATCTTACATTTTGCTTGTCTTCGCAGCTGGCTCGAAAGGCAGCAGAATTGCCCGACTTGTCGACGCCCGGTCGTTGCTCCACCTCAGCCACGGGGGCACGGCGACGCTGGCAACCGCAACCCCGGGGGCGACGCTGGCGGGCAGCAGAATCAGCCTTTTGGTAATCAACCATTCGGTCGGAATGCGCCAGTGGAGGGATTACCGCGAGCCCGAATTTATCAATTCGGACCTTTCCGAATCGGCTTTGGTGCAGGAAGAGGCGATCTTTTTCGCAATCTTCAGCAGCAAATTCACCAGGGAAATGTACCAATGCAGCAGCCAAATGATGCTATTGCGCCTAATGCTCGACAGATAGGGTTCGGACTCGGGTTCGGGCAACCGCCAGCGACTCCAACAGTTCCAAACCCGGCTTCGAGTGTGGCTCACGTACAAAATCAATTGCAGCAAGTGGAACAGCAGATCCTGCAAGAGATCAGCAGCCTACGTGTCACAGCTCAGCAACTTCAACTTGTGCGAATGCTGCAAATGGAACTTCAGCGGCTCCGCGGCCTCTCGGCTGAATCTATTGGATCTCAACCGGGTCTCTCAAGTTCTGCATTGTCAAATTCGGTGACGTCCACAGCCGAGCGTCATCGGTTCGTGTCGGATCATGAAACACCTGCCATGAGGGCTGGGGACTCCCGACTCCCAGAGGGATTAATTCTTCCCGAAGGCTGGTCTCTAACACCTCTATACTCACCTGGTCAAGAATCTAGACCAGTGGGTAACCCCTGCGTTCCTACTACTGCTTCCGAGACAATCATACCCCCCGCACCTCCCATGACCGAAAATGAATCCAACAATTCATGTTCGGTCCAAGAGACCGCGGCTGTTCCAGGCCCCTCCGTACCTCAGGATCTGCCAAACTGGCAATCTGCCTCGACTCCTGCAGCAACTCAGACTGGTATCGAGTCACTGTCCCAGCAATGGACCGACCTGGCCTCCGAGACACAAGCTGACGATACGGAGCGTTCCGAACGTGAGCAGGGGTCGGAATCGTCGTCGGAATCGCCATCAAGGGGAAAGGCGCGGGTCGCGACAGTAGAGGATGTACTCGATGACGATGAAGTGTGATAGATAGATACTTACTCCCCTCTCCCACTTCATAACCTCTTCCATATGTCACCCAGTACATTTCCATCATACCAAATCTACTCTGTTCTTGGCTTATGTATCATCACAATGGTGTTGTCAACACTCCCACCCCCTTCCCAATCCTTCTCCATAGGATGTCCTTGTTTTCTGGCGTTTTCGAAGCGACTCATTCATACCCAGCTACCTCTCAGTTCCAAATTTTGGCCATATGCCTCCTCTCGGAGTCCTCCTTATGTTTCACTGCTCGTACCCTGGCACATGATTCTTTTTTTTGTATGTACAGATCCGGGATAAAGTATTTGTGCAATTAACATTGCTTTACTATTAATCGGTACCATTCATTGTGTGCGGGTCTTCGAATTCCTGCATTCTGCCTCTTTTATACTTCGTAGACGACGATCGACAATGTTGGAATAAAGGTGGAGACTGCAAGGTGCAGCTGCACCCTGTTGTTCGGAAGGCAATTGGTCGGAGGAGAAATTGCTGCCTCGCATCTAGACTTCCGTCGAAGGGATTCTGTATTACAATACTGTACATAAGTTTACCCACCTATGTACAGAATATTAGACTTCATAGGTACTGTAGTAACTGATAAGTTGACGTGCTACTATGATTTAAGGAACCGAGTTCTACTAACGGAGTGAGGAGCTCATACATGTATGGAGTCAATGCGACGCGACTGACTTGTGCCGATCTGGGGAGGAAAGAAGAGGGTTCAATCGTTTCGCGGTGCGGTAAGTTAAGGAGTACTGTACACTACTTTACCTAGTCTCGTCGTCAGCCCCAATTATTGCTGACGCCAGCTCCGCCTCCGCCTGCCCGCTCTTCTGCGCCATCATTTGCGTATGCATACCCTCAGGGCTCGTTCTTCCAGCCTGGAGCCCCGGTTTCATGTTCCATTCTGCGTCCAACCCACCAATCCTCGTTCATGTATGCAGTGACCACCTCCGCGGTCGCCTGATTGTCTTGGTGTCGTCTTACATTACTTTATTCTTAGACTACCATAATACTCTTGTTTCACCCTCCCTGGCTCATGGGCCATTTTCGTTGAAGTACGAAGAAGTCTGTTGCGAGACATTTTCCCCCCCGTACAGTCCATACCGCCCTGCCAGCTTCTCGCCGCTCCCTGTGATCGCGGGGATTGTTTCTCACCAATTCTGAGTTCTTGACCACAACATACTTTTATTCAAGGCTCTGATCCATGGCTATTATCTTTATCGTGTAGCCTTTCGGCCTTTCTTGTGAGTAAGAGTGCGGACCCCGGTGCCTGTCTGCATGGTCTGGAACCAACTCAGGCACCAAAAGCTTAAAACATATCCGTCCGACGCCTTCTGCCTTCTCCAATAATACTTATTGACAAGCCTCCCAGTGTCGCATTGTCTTAGTATTTTCTCCCCTTTCCTACTAGTTCCCATTCTGTGATCGTGATCGATGATCTCCTCACGTCGCATTGCGCCCCTTCTCGGCTTCGCCTTTATCCTCTCGGCCCTGTTCGCCTTCTACACTCTCTCCGCACAATGGGAGCCAATTCCGCAACCCGCTGGCTTGAACAGGCCGGTCGCGACACCCTCGCCCACACCATCCTTGCGCTATAATCTCACCCGGGTGTCTGAAGAATCTCCCACGCGGACGCCATACGCCGCCAAGCCACGCTTTGCCCCTGGTGTTCCTAAAGCGCCTGGCGCGACGTACAGCAAGATACTAGTTGTGCCTCAGGCAGACGGGGAGGACACTACCTGGATCGAGTTTGAATTGCCAGACTGGCAGTCGGCCGTTTACGTCGTAAATGATCCGTCGGCACC